CAGAGAAAGATGTTTATGAAAGTCTTTATCTAATTCTCTGGCAATCTGTGTAAATAGACGAACGTAATGAGGTTCTAGATGTCCATGAATGAAGTACAAAGGTGGTTCCTAGTCAAGGGTAGTAGGGCTGTGAACCAGCGTTTGAGTGTCCCAATCATGGACCTGTTGCCTACCCCAAGCTGTAAGTGGGTACTGGAAAGAAGCATGAAGGTTTTGGCGAGGAATGCCAATGTCAAATAGGCATTCATAAAGAAACCTTAATTTTATGCTACCAATAGAAAAAGTTTACATATACATATATATATATATGTGTATATATATATAAAATGTAAAGTTGTTCACATCCTGTGTCATGAATTCACTGTTACGGCCAGGTCCAGGGTATGGCAGAATAGAGTGAGCTGCTAGCCTGGATTTGTTTTTTTTGTTTTTTTTTCCCCTTGTACCTCCAATGGAGTTTGCATGTCTAGGAGCACAATGGTTTGAGTTGTGTATATTTTAAATTATCTACATCATTAGTGATTCTTCTAAAGATTTTTTTCTTTTTTTTAATGAAAGTTGGGTAATTCATTTACTTTTAAAATGCTGTTAACCAATGAAACATACCTAGAATACTAATTTAATCTTTTATGCAGGCAATTTTTTTTTTTCCTGAGAATGTTCACATAATTTCTGCAAGGGCTGTTAGTGCCATAGCACTTTGCTTTCTTGATTTGAAAAACTTAGTCATGGAGACTCTACCCAAACAGATATTTGAATTTTTTATCTTTTGATACAACCGGTGGCTAAGGGTCTATTGGTTTTCCCTTTCTTTTGACGAAACCTCCCATCTACCTATTGCTAATGACTCAAATTACCTTCTGTAGAGAGTTAGAGAGTTACCTCCTGTTTGTCCCCTCCAGTCCGTATCAGTGGCAATGGATGTTGTCTTCTGATTTTTTTTTTCTTTTTTGGCACCTGATTTTGTAACTTTTATTTTAAAGGGAGCACATAAGCAGTTGGAGGTGAGGATTGGTTCTTTGCATAGGATGAAATGGTCCTTGTTTTGCAGGTATTTCGTGCTGTAGAATTGCAAGCCAGATTCCTAACTCAGTCTGCCTTGCTTTGCTTACAGGAAAAGAGAGAGAATACTGAAAAAAAGAAAAGATATTCTCATGCAGCTGTGGAGGAAGGTTATCTTGTTGTTCTGTTGCTTTTAAGGTTAGAAAATAGGACATAATTTCCAATGAGCAGGCTGAGTAACCTTGTACCTTAAACAAGGAAATCTCAGTGTGTGATTTTGAACAAAGTAGAGTCCTTTCCCCAATCTGTATAGGTGTAAAACCTAAATGAAGTAGCTCTTTAGGAAACATTGAATTTCACAAAATATTTTTTTTCTTTCCTTTTTCTTTATTTTGTAATATTGTAAAGCTACTAGATTGTTCCAGCCACCCTCCAGATTCCAGAGCAGCGAATAGATTACTTTATGAAGTGGGCTGCAGCGAAGCAGCCTACCAGTTAGTCATTCTGTAATTTAAGATTTTGTGTGTGATTCTTTTCCCCAGCCTCCTCCACCTCCACACACAGTACTTTAGTGCAAAGAGAGGATGTTGTCTGCTCCGTAAAATACATGGACTTAGGGCCTGGAGAAGGAGGATGAAACTGTAGCAATTGAAATCTGCTTCTGTGGTAGCCTTGTTGAAGGCGTTGTGAGATGCTTAATTTAGGGACCTTCTTTTAGTCCTCAGGGTGCTGCCGAGAACAGCAGTGTGTAGCCATGGCAGTTAGGAGGGTTCCTAACTCGATTCCAGGTGTATTTGGGATGTTCTTGCTTGGCAACTCTGTAAAACACATTATTTGTCTAAGTCCTATTTCTCCTCCTTAGCTACGTGCAGCATTGTAAGTGTCTTACAAAACTGTTTTGTTTTGGCAAGATTTGCTTCATGTTGCAAACTTAGGGTCAAGGGTAACCATGACTAAAGGCATGTACCTTGATGTTGTGAATGTGCATTTTCACAAATTACTTCAAAGTTAGCAGTTTAATAAGCAGAAGAGTAAGTTTTTGAGAAAAGTTTTAAGAAATTGAAGCTTCTCTGAAGACTTGGGCTGAACCCTTTACTCTTTCCTTTGAAACCTGCAACATCTTTTTGTTTTCCCCCATTTGCTTTGTTGCTTGACTCAGGTGTTTTCATTTACCACTTGTTCTTTAATGGGGCTCTGGCTTGAGGTTATCCCTAGCAAAAGCTAATTAAATAAAATAAGTCTTTCAGAAAGAGAGAAAAGACATGATGTAAATGCATGGAGCTGCCAGGTGTTGGAGTAGGCCACCCAGCATTTTAAAAATGAATGTAGGATAATGAGTAATAATTCTTACTGTCACTACATGAATTGTAATTCATCTAAAACTACATGAGAACATTTTTATGCTTATATAACTTATGCTGGAAAAAAGACAGAAAGCACCTTTTTGGCCAAGAAATTGATTGTCTTTGTTTTGATTTGACAAATACATGACTAAATTACAGTATACAACCAGCCTTAAAACGCAATAGCAGAACATCTCTCCATATTTTGATTTAAAAGGCCGGGGGGGGGGTGCAGCAAACCTGTTTTTTTTTTCTACTTAGCAGTTCACATTTCTCAGAAATTAGAAAGCTCATCCAAAGTGTGTTTTGTAGTAGAAAATGGCACATTAAGCCATTCTGGTAGTTTCCTTCTGTTCAGATGAAAGCAGAGTCTGCCTCCCAGTGGGAGTGTTCAGAAGGGTTGTCTCAAAGGGTTATAAAAATGACTTTAGAAATTGAGAGTGCTGAACTGAAAGTGATAGCTGAGCTGCTGTTTACTTCCCTGGAAGACTCACATCATGAATAAGGATGAAGGTTTGTTTATTTTTATGCATAAATTTTGCGTGTTGGAGATTTACTTGTATTGGTGGTCTTGTTTTGTTTCCATGTTTCATTTGTAGTTATGATTTTTATAAAGCATAGCAGTATCCTTGAAGAACCTTGGTTCTGTTTCTGTTAAGATCACTTTCCGTTTTCTGAAGCTTTAGTTGGGAAGTCTCTCCCTATAATCCAGGTCTTTTAATGCTCGTGTAACCGCTGCTGTTACTGCATCTTTGTGCCTAATAACTGCGTGTTACCTTTATGCTAATAACGTGGCTTCTGGCCACCTCCTAAGGAAAGGGAAACCTTGTTTTGCAGGTGAAATGGAGGCGTGAATGCTATCAATTAAACCCTCTTGTGTTAATAGGAGTATTAGCTTAGGTCTGAAGTTTAAAGGTCTTTAGGCTGTAGCACTTGCAACCGTTAGGGGTGAGATCCAGAGCAAAGCAAGGCTCCCTGGCTGCCGTTGGGAGCATGAGGCGGGTCCTGCAGCCCCGCTCCGCTCTCGCCCCGGCGCAGGGTGACGGGAGCCGCGGGTGCTGCAGGGATCCCCTGTGCCCGCCCTGCTGCCTCCACGCACCAGAGCCCACCCGAGACCCGGCGCAGGGT